TTCGCTCTTTTTTGCATCTTTTTGCTCCAATGACCCTAATTCATCATTCCTGCAATAAAACATCAAAAATACCTTTCTTTAAAGTGTAATATCATAAAAAACAATATAAAATAGGTATGAAAATCTCAACATAACATATTTTCCTTTGGTCACACTCCATGGGCAACATCTAGCCTCTGCTGAAAGCCTTTTTCAACAAGTCTAGCCTTGTACCTCTTACTGAACTCTTATTGACATCACACAAAGTCTTCACCTGGTACACCCACTTGTTGTGCAATGCCTTTTTCCCTGGTGGAAGTTCTGTCAGTTCCCACTTGCTTGAACTTTCATCTTGCAAGATTTCTTTATAGCTCTGTGGTTCTTCAACATTTGTTTGTGGAATAATAGGAATGTGTGCCCTGAACTCACTTTCCTCTTCACTTCCATCACTGCCTTGCACTATGGCCTCTGATATATTTTCTGCCACAGTCAAAGCCCATGAATCCAATATCAAGTCTTCAAGATAATTATGAACTACCAACAATAGTGATTAGCACATTCTGTATCTCTTCAGTTACAACATTAGCGTTATTATTCTCTTTCTTCTTAGGATTTCTGCAGTTCTTCTTTATGTGGCCAGTCTTGCCGCAATTCCAACAGGTTGTCTGCTTACTAAACTTTGATTTTGATCTCTCTATAGTTGAGTTCCTGTCATGCCATCTCCCTCTGAAATCAACATTCAGTGCCAAACTCGAACCTGAGACCTCTTCAGAATCTTTCCTGCTAACTTCCTCAGCCAAAATCAAATCACGAATATCATCGTATTTCAGTTTATATTTACCTGCAAAACTGCTAATTGTTATCCTCATGACTTCCAACTATCTGACAATGAATCCAATAAGATCAGTGCACATATCTCATCATCAAAATTAATTTCCACAAACAACAATTGATTTGTGATAGTATTGAAAACATTCAGGTGTTGAGCAACAGAAACACCTTCTGTCATCTTCAAATTGAATAGTTTCTTCATTAAGTGCACCTTGTTATTCGCCGATGGCTTTTCATACATACCTGATAAGGCTGTCATGAGATCTGCATTCGTCCTTTCTTTGACGACGATGTGTGCAACAGACCTCGATAGGGTCAATCGAATAACCCCCAGAAGTTGTCGATCCAACAAATTTCATTCAGCCTCATCCATCCTTTCAGGTTTTTTCCCCAATAATGGAAGATGAAGTTTCTTCCCATAAAGAAATCTTCTATCTGCATTCTCCAATAACCAAAATCTGTGCCATCAAACTTCTCAATCCTTGAAACCTCCACTTCATCTTCAGCTATCATTCTTCCTTGGATCTGAAACCACGCTCTAATACCAGTTGTTGTTGTTATGAGATGTTGTTGCGAGATTTAGATATACTGATTGATGTGGTATATATATAAATCAAATAGGAGAATGATCGATGAAGTGAAAAATAAAACAAGAAAAATCACACCAGAAAAGAACAACACAGCGGAACACACAGATTTAAGTGGTTCGGCAAACTGCCTACGTTCATGGAGTTGTAGAGGATTTTACTACTTGAGGAATTTACACCAGTCGATCACCTCGACTTACAAGAGGAATCTCTCACCCTTCATTGCTCTCTCTGTTCTTCTCTCTCTATACTGAGATACATCGAAGAAAACTCTACACCGAGATACGCTGTAGAAGACAAACTTACAAGAGAGATAAACCCAATTTCTCTTCTGCCACAAGCCACCAAGAAGAATCCTAGGGAGAACAATTTTCTTCTTCTTTCTTCTTCTTCCTTCTTCTTCCTTCTGCCGCAAGGAACCACTCCTTGCACTTCTCTTCCTCTGCCCCGAGGAAACCGAAGAACGCAAAGCGTGACTACAAACCCAAGGAGAGTCATCCGAAGCTTTTATCACAAACAGGAGGGAGCAAAGAGATGCTTCACTTCACAAAAGAGGAATGCGAGAGTGGTTATTTGTGAAGAGATGTGACTTTCCAAAGCAAAGTAACCGCCTAAGCATAGTGGACCAGACTCCACCGTTTCTAACAGTAGCTGCATAATTGACTCCTTTTTCTTCAAACAAACATTTTCTTAAGGTAGTCAACTGAATAAAGCATAGAGATAACTCGTTACCACTGTATGGAGCACTATATATAGTTTTTTTCTTCACCTAACATCCAATGGGAACCAAGTGATAAGATTTAAGCATTGTTTAGAATTTATATTTTCTTTAGATAGTTTATTATTAGAGATACCAAACATAAATTTTTAAAATTAGCATATATCAACGATTTCATAGCTCTTTAACAAGACTTAACCTCAGGGTGCAGTCCATACACAACCTATAAAAGGCTTCTTTATCACTTATTGGAACCAATTTTCTGAAAAGAGTTGGGCTAATTTTTCATGAATAGCACAATATAGCTCATATAATGTTCTAATTCAATGAACCACTTCAGCAAGCACATAATACACATCATGAAAATTGATGAATTAATTCTTCAATAAAATTAATTTATACATAAACCTCACCTAGTATTGTATAATTAATATTTTTCACCTTCCTTATAGTCCCAAATCAGGCATATGCTTTAGTAAAAAGACCATATACAACTTGTAATAGTGTAATTTACTCTTTTTTTCAAATCTTTTCTTAAGAAACTCCACCCAAAACTGCGTTAAGTTAACTCATTATCACGCTAAGAGGTCCTATTTAAATTTTTTTTTCTTGACAAACAAACAATGGAGATCAAATGATAAGAGTTAGTCATAGTTTAGAATTTATCCTTCATTTAGACAATATATTGATGAAGAAATCCAACATATATATTTCAAATTAATATATATAAGGTATCTGATAGCCCTAATACATGAGTTAACCTCAATGAACAGACTTTACACAGCATGTAAAATGCTATTTTATCGCTTTTTTTGCAATAGTTCTTTAAAGAATGATGAACTACTTTTTATGAGTAATACAATAAAGCTCACTTCATGCTCGAATTCAATGCAACATTTTAGCAAACACACAATACACATCACAAAAATTGATGTTCTTTTTCTTAAATCTAATAAATTTATGAATAAACATCACCTAATATTGCATAATTAACGTTTTTGACTTACTCAAAATCAAATATGTCAATCTTATTCAGTGAAAATACCATAAAAAACCTGTAGCAGTATAATTTACTCATTTTTGTAAACTTTTTCTTAATATAATCAACCCTTAACTGCATGAAGATAACTCATTATCATGTTATGTGACCCTATGTATAATTTTATCCATGACAAACAACCAAAGAAAGACAACTGACAAGATTTAATCATAATTTAGAATTTAACCTTTGTTTAGACAATAAATTAATGAAGAGGCCCGATGTAAATTTTACAAATTAGCATGTAGCATGTATCAGCAATCTAATAGCTCTAAAACGTGACAAAACCATAGTTCGTAGTCCATGCACAGCTTCTACAATGGTCCTTTCACCTTTAGGCAATAATTTTGTGAATAAAATTTGTCTAATTTTTAATGAATGGCATAATATAGCTCAAATAATATGCTAAATCAAGGATCAACTTCAGCTAGCATACAATACACATCATGAAAATTGATGAATTAGTTGTTCAATCCAATATATTTTTTAATAAACCTCACCTCATATATCTTAAATAGCATGTCTTACCTTCAGATACTTAAATTGTGCATCTTCTTCAATAAAAAGAATGTACACATCATGTAGCACAATAATAGTGTTTTTTTACCATAACTTCATGGGGATAACACATTACCACGCTATTCAACCTTTTATAAAGTTTCCTCAGCAAACAACCCATGGAAACGAATAGATAAGATTTAATGGTTTTCCCATGGAAACGAATAGATAAGATTTAATGATTTTCTCCTTCTTATATACAATATATGAATGAAGAAATCCAACAAAAAATTTTCAATTTAACATATATCACTCATCATATGAAATTCCTAACTTTACTTAAGTGATAGAATACCATTTTACATGCTTTCCAAATTTAGAAGTAATCACCGCAGGGTTTAAATTTAAGATATCGCCAGTATGCCTTCCGTTATTCATTGTCGTCACATATATCTCCTTCATCGTCAAATTTTCTCCTCTTCAAAGTTCTAAAACCAATTTTTTATTCCAGCTCCTGCATATCATTTTCCCATCTGATCAAGCACAGTAAATGTTATGATTATGAGAGTAATAATTAATCAGACCGGGTCTCAATTAAACACATATGAATTTTATGCCATAAATTTTTCTGCTTTATTTTATATGAAAATATGTCATATTCAGGTGGCATTATCTTATTGACATCGAATGTATAAGAACATATGATCTAATATTTTTCCCATAGGAAGTGCCCGGCTGCTTTACAGTCGGTTTCCACATAAAACTCGTCACCTCCCACCTTCTTCCCCCCCCGTCTTCTCTCCCCCTCTCTCTCTCTCTTTGTGCTAGCTTCTCTCATGGCAACAGTACCAGAAGACACAGAACTGCTAAACTACCAAGTAAGAACCACCCTCAATCTTTCTTCTCCATCTCATTCCCAGCTTATAATTCCCTCCCACTCTCAATTTTCAATTTAACTTGATGCATATTTCCTAATCTCCCAGACAACTGTATTAAAAGTCTCAATACACTGCGAAGCCTGCAAGAAAAAAGTGAAGAGAGTCCTTCAGGGACTGGAAGGTAGCATTCCACAAATCATCACAACATGTTCTCAAAATCCAATCTTTTTCACCTCATTCCAATTCAAACAGGGTTTTCTTCATCTAATTCTGCTCAAATTCATTTTTTTTCTCGCCTCAATTTACAGGTGTTTATTCCATAGACATCAATTCGAAACAGAACAAAGTAACTGTAACTGGCAGCACCGACGCCGAATCCTTAATTCGGAGACTTATTAAATACGGTAAGCACGCCGAGCTCTGGCCGGAGAAAAAACCCGCAGCCTCCCTTTCTTCCAGCCCGGAAGCCGCCAGTGATGCCGACACAAATCCTGACGCCCCTGTGCCTAAAACAGATCAACAGCTCCTGAATACAGAGAAGCAGCAGCAACCGGAAGAGTTAAACAACGAAACCATTCCCTCACCGCCCACAGAATCAACCGCAACCGCTCCGGCCGCCGTTGAAGCCGGTGCTCGCGACGCAGCTGATGAATTGGAGAAGAAGGGGAAACAAACGAAGAAAGAAACGAGCAGTGTAGATGAAAGCGCTGTTGCGAACACTAACACAGGAGAAAACACCACCGCCGCCATCCCCGCCCCCG